CTATGAAAACTAATCAACGAGAGAAAACCACAATCAAACCTTCTAATCCTCTCATACTTTCATTCTCTTTCAAACTCAAAACACTCGAAAAGATCTTTTACACTAGCTTTTAGCGTAGTGCACATAGTTCTTGAAGTCACCTCACGATTTAAACATAGAAGGGGTCTTGGGGTGGCTCGTGCAATTTACTTTGGCTCTTTTGAATAGGAGCAAACAGTACAAAAGCTGATTCTGCAATTAGAAGGCCTTCTTGAAGTGCATTTAGTGGGTTAAAGCATGCACTAGTTAAATAGTGAGGATTTAGTAAAAGGAATACTGCTGCGTACTTTAAACCATCACTGATGGGTATGGTTTGAAGTATTCATGCCTTAATGTGCTTTGCACTGGGTGAGTTAACACCAGGTTCTTAAAAAAGCTACCTCAGTAGGAGTATTCTGCAAGACATTTTGTGTTGCAATTGCCGTGTGGAACACCCTGAACGTAGCTACCGGTACTGCTAGCCACTGTGATAGGTACCGGTATCATACCGGTACGTAGTAGCTAGCTAGTAGACCACCATGATACAGGTACGGATCTCTCCTGGTATACACTAGCCTAGCTTAGCATTTTAAAAAACATAAAGTCTATTAACGGATTCAGACAAGCTGACTCGAGGACGACCTACGAGCCGAGGCCCGGGACTAGCTAGCTTTAGCATAGTACCGATAGCTAGCTAGTTGTGAAATCCCAGATACAAGCTCCAAGCAGAAAAAATAAACTCGATCGTCTGGGACAAAAGCTCTAATGCTGCAACCCAACAAAAGTCTGGAGCTCAAGCTGGGACACAGGTCCAGCTGGGACAACAGCTTCAGGCTGGGACCACAAGTTCAGACTGGGAAAGCTACACAGGCTGGGTACCTACAGGCTGGGAACAGCACAGCTACAGCTACAGGCTGGGACTACTACAGCTGACGAAGCTTCAGCGACGGCTGGGACAACAGCTTCAGTCTGGGACAACAGCTTCACACTGCTACTCCGGGCTGGGACCACAGCTTCAGGCTGGGACGAAAGCTTCACGCTGGGACAACAGCTCCGGGCTGGGACCACAGCTTCAGGCTGGGACGAAAGCTTCACGCTGGGACCACAGCTTCAGGCTGGGACCACAGCTTCAGGCTGGGACAGCAGCTTCAGGCTGGGACAGCAGCTTCAGGCTGGGACAGCAGCTTCAGGCTGGGACAACAGCTACAGGCTGGGACGAAATCTACAGGCTGGGACAAAAGCTACAGGCTCGGACGAAAGCCTCGGGCTGGAACCTGATATTTCCATCAGACAGTTCCTGTATCTCTGTGTATGCAGCCCTTATCTGAGCTTATTGATGCTGTCCGTGCATCCCTCCATTTTCATCAGACATAGCGGCTTCTGGTCGACATAGACTATGCTCTCAGTTCCAGCTACTTTGACTTCGTTTTCACGGTTTTCACCAATCCTGACACAGTTGCCGTAACAACAAGTCACAGCTTCCGTCACCAGTCCTGAGGTACTCATCCTGTGCTAGTAGCCTTCTCTGATCCTGCTATGCTTCTAATAACACTGTTGGTTTGGGAGTGATTACTAGTATACCACTTTCGACTCTTGTTGTAGTAGTAATTGTAGACCAATACGATTTTGGAAGTGTTGCCAGCCTGGGTGGGTGAAAAGATTCAGCATCTTTTGCCACTGCTTTATTCAAAACACCATTGGTACAATTCCCAGCCTGATTGTCATGAGCACGGAGCATGACAGGCGGTACTTCATTCCTTGGTGCTTTTTCATGCTGGGAATTTGACGGTGCTGACGCTTTGGGAGATGGTGTTGGTGTTGGTGTTGATGCTTCTGGCGGACCTTCTTGTTCTTCTTGGATGCCATTATTGCTGGTCTCGGCTCGTAATAAATTCACTGGGAATGGTATTGGAATAGCTGGCTGGTATTGTGAACTGATTCGATTCTATTTTATTCTCCAGCTTGTCTACCACCAATGACAATGACAACCACAACCACAACAACATCTACGATCAAGTATCGGTGGGAAACTCGGTAAAGCACTCGTGATGGCCAGCGGTGCCTGAAAAGATCCAGCGTCTGGCCTCAGGCCGAACCTTCCTGCCCAAATTCGCTGTGGTGGTGTTCCTGGCATCATAGGTGTCCTACGCTTCGTGACAAAGTCGCGCACCTCCTCCAACAGAACACGTTTTACCGTTGACACTTGCTCCATCGTTCACTTTTTGCTTCAAAACCTACCTTCTTTCCTTCTTTCCTTCACACTTTGGTGTTGTGAAACATCAATCATGTCGTCCAAGAGATCAAGACAAACGACGTCCTTTGCTGCAGGTATCAATGGCGGAATCCTAGCTGATCTATCCTTCATGAATGATGTGTGCTCTCCAATTGCAAAGACTGGACAAAACGACGACGACTCTTGTGGCAGCGAATCCCAGAGTGACGAGGAAAGCAGCCGTGTTGGAGACAAGGAGAACAATTTTCCCAATGAAATCTATCCCGAGCAAAACCTCAAAGATATCAGTGCCATCTCCTGTTCCGTTTTGTCTCCTGTTCCGACCAAACCCAACTTCACCAGACGAATCCGAAGGATTTCTGCTCGCAACCGACTATGTCAGGATGATGATGATTCGGAAAGTGATGATGATGATGATGAGCCATCCAGTCAAGAAGACGACGACGAAGAGTCTTCCGAGTCGTCAACACCCAAACCCAAGAGAAAGACAAACCGCGATGACTACAGCCGCCTCAAACAAGCAGCGCTTGAAAAAGCCAAGCAGCGTCAGGACGACGCGTCGGAAGGAGAAGATTTGGGCAGTGATCAGTACTCTTCCGAAATGGAATTTATCGACTTTGAGGAGGACGATGACGACGAGGATGAGGAAGACGAAAAGGATGACATTGAAGAGTACGGGACAGACAATGATGACGAGAGACGCGGTGAGGACAGCTTCTTCACGGACAACTCTTCGGAAGAAGAAGAACTAGAGATTGATGACGACTTTGATGAGGACGAGGAAGAGCCGGAATGGACCAGATCCCGACGAAACGAAACCACTGCAAAGAGTAATTGCAGCAGCAAAGCGAAAGACGAGACTACCTCGGACGATGAAGCCGCTTCTCCAGAAGCCGATTCGTCCTCTAACGCGTCTCCAACTATGGAAAAAAGCGACAAGTCCTCTGTGGTTTCTACACCAGAGCACGAAACCAATGAAGGTTCTAGCAATGAACACAGTCCTCCAACAAAGGTCGCTGGCCCCACAAATGAGCAGACAAGGCTTCAGGGAGAACCCATGTCTCCAGATTCATTTGCTGTTCAATGCTTCGCTGCTCCCTCTCCTGCATCCACTAGCAGTCCTGCTCCAGGTGAAGAAAGTAGCAGTCCAAAGATAACTCCGAACGATTCGTCACCTCCAGGAAGAACGGATGACATGCCGTCGCCTTCTCCCCATTCGCCTCCGCCGGACGCTGGAATGAAGGTGGATATCAAAGATTGCCCTGAACCTAAAGAATGCTTGGAGGCAACAAATACGCAAATGGATGCGACCGAAAAGACAACATCCACTCTGCACAAGGGCGAGACTGCCCAAGTCAACGATTTCCCACTACCACCAACAAAAGATGGTTCTCAAGAGACAGTGCCTGTCGAATCCTTGATGGCATCATTGGATCTATCGAACCGCGAACCAACGGAAGACGTGAGGTCATCTCCCAATTCGCACAAAGAAGCAACAACGGATATCGGAGAAAGCCCTCTTCTCGCCACAACATTGCCAGAAACGGAGACATCCTTTGCAAGTGAAAACCCTAACCTGCATGATGAAACACTGGACGAAACATTCTTTCTTCCCAATCAACCTCCAGACTCCCTTTTGTATGACATCACACCAGAACGTTTCGCCAACCCAACGGTGGACTTTGGTTCTTATAATGATGATCCCTGCGACCGTCTTTCCGGTTCTATTGTATCTCCTGTTCGTCCCAATGGAGATTTTGTCGCGAGGACTTGCGAACCGGTGAGTGACAATGTGAATGACGTGAGCCAAACATCCAATGCTCCACGTACAAAAGGAGAAACGTCCTTCTGCAACCTTGCCGAGGCGACTGAGGGTTTTGCTGCAACGGATACGCAGCCTTCTGATTCCATTCTCGCTGATGATTACACAACAAACGCAGCATCGGCAAAGCCAGCTGCGGCGACCAACGAAGACGAGGACCTCGAGACACGAGAGATCGGCGTGTCAGACAAGTTGCAAGGCTGTAACCATGAGGAGAAGCTAGATTGCACCACTACGAATGAGGTTGGAAATGATGCCCTGACAGTGGAAAGTCTGGCTAGAGATGAGCCTGATAGCTCAGCGGGTCATTCTGATGGTGCTGTAGCTGTTACCAACCCGGTCAACCAGGAAAAGAGCAACGACAAACTACATGAGGGAGAAGTGACCGCCGAGCCATCCCCTGGCAAGGCGGATTACGTAACACGGCACGATGACGGTACAGCAAGAGACGACGATGAATCTGAGAAGGACGACGATGAAACTGAGGTGGACGAAGAGGAATTGGAAAACTGCACCCTCACGACATCTTTCTGTGAAAGTGTAGCCGAGACCGATGAAAGAAGTGTGGAAGATGTTGTTGCGGTCGTAATTGACGACGACGACCAGTCCGAGAGTGACTGCAGCGAGGCTCTCATCGCGGCCGTTGTGATTGACGAAGACAACGAGACGGCAGCTGACCTAGACGAAACTCTTGTCGATGACGAGTCAGAGTCGATCTTCGAACAGGACAGCGTTGCTCCTTTGAGTTCTCAACGTGATGTGAGCACGACCGCTTCGCCTGAATCAGCTAAAGAAGGGGTCACTAACGACAATTTACATGAGCCACCGCTTGTCCCCTCGTCTCCAATGTTGCAAGAATCTTCTTCTCAACATGGTTCTCTCAAGAATCCTGTCAACAACAATCTGCAGAGGCCTTCATCGAGCAGACAGTTTGTCAAACGGGGAAAATGGACGCTTGGTCCCAAAATCGGACAAGGCTCTTTCGGGACAGTACACATGTGCATGACTGATGAAGGTGTATTGATGGCAGCGAAGGTCATTCCTACTACGGACACATCTGTCATTAGTGACATTCGGCGCGAAGTAGAGCTGCTGTCGAAGTTGAATCACCCGAACATTGTCGCCTACAGAGGCGCCCAATCCAATTCGAAGCGTTCCAGGCTCCACATCTTCCAGGAATGGGTTCCAGGGGGGTCTGTGGCCTCTATGCTGACTAAATTTGGAGCCTTTACCCTTCCGGTGGCGCGAGTCTATTTGAAACAGGTTTTGACGGGCCTTTCGTATCTTCACTGCCAAAAGATTCTCCACCGCGACATCAAAGGTACGAAGTGGCTTTGAGATCGCAGGCCAAGTTCGTCCAGCATCAGCCACTGACACTTTCGTTATCGAATATAAAACAGGGTCCAATGTGCTAGTGAACGATCTGGGTATCGTGAAATTGGCCGATTTCGGTGCCAGCAAACAGCTATCGGAGAACTCTCAGGGGATGATAATGACAATGACAATGCGCGGGAGTAAGTTGCAGGATATCGTGGATGCGCTCGGATCTGTTTTGTGAACCCGGCCAGCTAACCTGATTCATTCGACTCATACCATCCAATAAAGCACCTTACTTTATGGCTCCGGAGTGTTTTGAGGAAAAGTATGGGTATGAATCTGACATTTGGTCTGTTGGTTGCCTCGCCATTCAAATGAGAATAGGACTGCCGCCATGGAAAAATTTGGGTATCACCAATCCTGTTATGCTCTACAAACACATCGAAGCAAACCCAGGACCACCTTCGGCTGATCTACCAACCGAAACTCAACAAGACAGAGATTTTGCTGCGATGGTTGCTCGGTGCTTTCACAGATCCCCCGTTGAACGACCAAATGCCCAAGAATTGGAGGACGATCTATTCTTCTTCCGCAGAGAGACTATCGACGATGACCAAACAGGCATTTCCTCCGTCCTGGCGTCCCCGAGTGGAACGAAAGATGGCTCGTTTGGTTGGGAACACTTGATGTCTCCAACCACGCCGCCAATGTCAGGAAAATCCAAGCTCAAAAGCCGACATAGGCGAAGCAGCAGCGCTGGATGCCTCAAGTCCCCACTCTTTTTGTCCCCACCCATTCCCGAGAACAGCGTCCTCAAACTGTCTCCTGCTCGTGCATTGCGACGAGTTACTAGCCCAGCTATGGCGTCTCCGCAGTACGTCTCGAAAGAGTGGCCTGCTTGGGCCCGTGACGTTTTGAAATCCGATTCGAAGCGCCCTGCATCCCAAAGCAGTCCAGCATTTGCCGTGGACACAACGCTCAGCGAGTCGATGGGGAGCCTGGCCATCAGCGAAGACAGCCCCATGACCGTGCAGGGTCGAAACTTGTTCAGTGACACCAAGAACAGTGGGTACTTTAGTGAGATCAGCGAAGAATCCACACTGAGAGGAGAGAACCTATTGGAAATCGGCAGCTCGATCAAAGAATAGATAGCTCGCCGCTCATGTTGAAACCTCTTGATGGCTACAAGGATGGAACGTGAGAGATTCGAGTTGACAAGAGTAACCTAGAATCAAAATTGATCTCGTAGCCAACAATCCTGCTGCTACTACCGTAAATGTAGCAATAATGCTGCTCCTAGCTAGACAAAGTAAACGTAAACAATCACAGTGATACTATTCAATCTCAATTGCTTTCATTGCACAATACAATGGCTGGGCTGGAAACCAATTTGAAGAAACCAATCCAGCAACTTTGAATTGTTGGCACGGGAAACCCACCGCCACCCCGCAACGAGTTACGACAGCTGAGAATGTCAGCACATTCAAGTCTTTCTTGTTTGTCAGCTGTTGACCACCGCGTAATCCGTGCTTCACATTTACTTTTTGGGGACTCAATACTCTACAGTAGCAAGAAGTGGAAATTCCAGAACCCTGTACATGAAACAGCTTGAATCCCCCCAAGTCTGCTTTATTTGGTCCCTTGTCATCTCTTGTTCCTTTGCCCCTCATTCCTTTTAGAATGAATACTCGTACGATACGACATCTTTGCCTTGCTTGCTGTTTTACACCCCTCCCCGACTCTTGTAGGTAAAGTCTGCGGTATCTGCGCCGACCCCCCTGCCGGAAAAGGTTGCGACAATGGGCCGAAAGAGTAGTCGCAGGGGAAAAGATCTACGATCTCGCATGACAATTCCTCGAAACATTTTGGGATGTCGTCCAAACGGATTGGCGTGTAAGTCGGCAAAGAAATGGTATGTTTTGCCATCCCATCTCATGTTCCAAGTGACTCCCGACGGGGCCAGTTTCCAAGTCCCTGCCACGAAATAGGGTAACGTTGTTTCTTCTGGTGGTGGTGCTAGTATACCCAAGGCAGCCGAGCGCTTTTGTATTCTTTCTGGCAGCAATTTCCATAGTTTCTTCTTGTAGTATTGTTGGGTATACTGTCTCTTTTTTGGTGGTTGTTGGTAGGTATTCTTGGCTCTGTTTGGGTGTCGACTACGAACGTATCCATTTTCGTTGAATTCAAACGTCAGAATCTTATCTCGTTGTCTCCTTTCTTCTTTCCAAGCCAGGGTGAGATTCCATTGTTCCATGCGCAAGGGATGGGACGCCTGTGGCAGTTTGGCTTTTGCTTGTCTAGATGAATAATAGGAAGGATCATAGGATCTATCGTCCATTCTTCCCATCCACAAGATTCTTCTGGGTGGTTTGTTGATTATTTCATCCTCTTCTTCTGATGACACTTGGAATGGAGAGTGGACAAAACTGGTATCTTCTACCCACTGCAACGTCCATTCCTCCGGGGGTGACGACAAGTCCTGCAGCTTGGAGGCAATCAGTGGCTGATTTTGGAACGCTACCACCAGAGGTTTCGCTGCAGATACCCTTGATGACACATGGACCAACAGCACTAAGATAAATAAGATAATTGCGAGAGGACTGCTGTCCTTCGACGACATGATAATGATACTCCTTGCTTGAGTTGAGATACCCTAATATATACAGGCAGCATTAGTCCAACATCGACTTTCTATGGTTCAGTACCGGTGGTACAAGTGCCGATAATGATCGGATGTCGCTGTGGCGAGTGGCAAGGGTGGGTGATGGCCAAGATCTTTTTCCCATGCCAAATGCAGTAGTGGTAGGGATAAAGTTGACCGACCCTTCCACTCCCCAGATAACCAACATGGTGACTGTTAAATCCTGGACATCACGACCGCTTGGGAATACAATGGCTGGCACAAGCAGCATGAAGCCATTTCGGTCTTGGTGGAAGAAAGCAGCGGCAGGTTCGTCTCAACGGTCTCTCCATCGCACCATTGCCAACTTGTTTGCACCGCGTCGTTGACGACGACAACAACAATCCCGCCTTGGCACTGCTGTCACCAAACAGATCTGTCTGTTGGAGGTGGTCAAGTTTTAGCAACAGAACAAGCAAGGGCCAACTCAACTCAACTCAACTCAACTCAATCAAGAAGTTAGTCCAGATTAGACAACCCAGCAAAGATCATCTTCGTCTTCTCTTGGTGCACCTGGATCATTACTGAGTCACGAGTTGAGTCGTTCCGTTTGACCAGAACTACCAGTTCGATTGACACTACCACCTTGGATCAATCAGTGTGCTTCTATTAAGCTAAGAAGACCCAACAGAAGCTATTAGTACCCCCACGATAATCCACACCTCATCCTGAACACACAGAGAGATAGATAGATAGATAGAGAGAGAAGGGGATAAGAGACCTCTCTGGAACAATCTGCATTCAGCCTAGCCTCAGTACAGGTACACTTCTACCGCTTGGTGCTTGTATTAGCACGGTACATACCTACCATTAAATTTCTACGAGTTAATCAATCAATCAATCAATCAAGATGAGCAGCGAGACGGCCAACAACGGACGAAAGTCCGAGTCTGGCATGACGGGTATCACGGATCCTCGCGACACGGACGTCTTGTGTGGTCGCGGAGGAGCAGCCCTTCGCCACCCGGGGAATCAGACGTACCGTCGGTTGGTGAATCTGAACAAGGGTCTCTACATTACCTGTCTCAAGACGGAGAAACTCAAGATCAGTCGCTCCATTGTGGCCGCCATTCGAGAACAAAATGGACGCTTCCTGGAAAAGGACGCCGGCAAAGCCTCGTGGTTCGACATTGGAGACAAAAAGGCCATTGAGAAAACATCACAAGCTCTCAGAGAGGGACAACCCAAATTAAGACAGAAAATTGTCGAAATGGGAGGTGGAGCCGCAGGCACAGCGGCGCTCATGGAACAGCAGTTTGGGGCCAATGGAATCTACGCACAATCGGCCGTACAACAACAACTCCAACAACAACAGATGCGCGCCACTGGAGCATTTGATCCCACCAATTTTGCACAACAATTGGGGGCAGGAGGTCAAATGGGGGCCGCAGCCATGGCCATGATGAATCCACCCCATCACTCCATGGCTACCGCCCTAAGACAACAACAACACCATCAGCAGCATCAACAGTTTAGACAACAGCACCAAATGCAACAACAACAACAACAACACATGAATCAACATCAGCATCATCATCACCCGGGAGCTGCTAGAATGCATCACGACATGCCGCCCCCGCAAGCACGTCAAGCACTTCACAGCGAAATGATGCGTCTGAGCATGCACGGTGACGACGAGGCACAACCACAACAGACCGGATCATCACAACAGCCACCACAAACCAGCAGCAGCTCGTCCAACAACAACAGCAACGGTGCCGATCACATGCCATTACGACCTTCCCTCGTCAAACGAGGATCTGCAGCGGCTAATGAACTAGGAATGGGACCCAGCAGCACCAGTCTCATGTCCGAATTCTCCATGTTTGGTAACAGTGCTCACAATGGATCCACCTATAGTGCCATTGGGAGTATCAACTCCAGTAGTCGAGGCGGAGGAGGACCCGGTGGTGACCCCTACAATCCCAACCCTTACCAGCAATCCGGTATGGATCGAAGAAACATGTTTGCCAAGATGAAGTACTCGCGACCTTCATCCGATCGCATGTCCTCGGGACGCGCAATGGGTGGTGCTTCGGCACACTCCATAGGCGATGGCATGCCGGACTTTCACATGGTCGAGAGTCAGCTATCCCTCTACTCCAACTTGTCTGGCATGACGGGAACCGATTCCAAAACCAAGTCGCTCGGGGATACCAGTGGTGACAAGAAGCCCGCAGGGTCGGACATGTTGGGGGGTGCCGGTAGTCGTCATTCCATCATGAGCGGGCTGTCACGAATCTCCGATACCAGCGAAGTACATTCCATCTTTTCCGATCTATCACGAAAGATTGGAAACGTATCCACTCGATCGATTGCCATGAGCGAAATATCCGGTATAGATGCCTATCGTGGGGGAGAAGATTCCGATTCCACGCCGTCCTTTGGAGAAGCCGATGCCAGAGTTGCTCCTTCGGGAACCATGGATTTTGATGTTTTTTAGTACAGTATTATTATTAAAACAGTAGCAACCATTACTTTTTCAGTTTGTCGTCGTGATATCATCGTGGCGTCTCTGTTTGCGTTGAATCGAATCAGAATCGTTCGTACAAAGATACGAGCTAGCTTGTGAAGCTCAGCCGAGGCAGTTGGGCATACAAAATCAAGTGCAATACCGGCGCTACCCTACCCTGCCAATACAGCCACTTCCAGCACAAGGAAGCACGAACGCACACAAAAAGCTCTTTTTTCAATGTCCTTATTAACAAATACCCTTGTTAGTACTATAAATCAAAACGTTTAAACTTGGAAAATGCAACGTTGTTCCCTGGTCACCCGAATCGATTGAATCATTCGATTCCACTTTCTAGAAGCAACAGCTCATGTCTGCATCTTCAATCGTCACGTTGAACGCCCAAATCTGTTCCAACGTGGATAGATCGGTGCTAGTGACAACATGACTGTACATTGTCATGACAGAGCCATACTCTTCGTACACAAAGGAACGATGGTTGGATAGGTAGCCATTGCAATGGTGACAGCTGCCACTTGGAGCAGCGTGGTTCACGCGAAAGAGCTCCACGATGCCCTGACCCTCCTTGGCCTTGGAGACATCCAGCACAACGAATCCTTCAAAGACCTGATCTTTTCCAAGTTGATCCATGGGTACATAACCCGCGGTCGGGTCCATGGCTTCGAAGATGGCGAAGAGATCCGGTGAAAGAGTCAACGGGACAAGGAGCAACCCGCTGGATGTGTACTGGACAGCCTTGGGGTCATACGAGGCAGACGTCTTGGACAATGCCAAAGGATCTTCATTGAGTAACTTGGTTGCGACAACCACGGCTTGTCCGGGGACAGACAAGTCATAAACATTCGCCACCACACCATTTTCCGATTTTGACAAAAGATTTGCACCTTCCAACATGGTGCCAATGCCAACTACAAGAGTTCCGTCATCGTTGATACTCTGAAGGTACGACGGGACAGTTTCCAACTCAAAACTGCTCTTGACATTCGGACTCTGACCCGGTGGCAATTCAATCAGATAAAAAGGACCATTCGTTTTGTCGAACGAAGTGACGACATAGACAAACTCTGGACCAAAGGAAATTGATTGGACACTTTCGTGAGTGCTTCCAAACCTGGCTCTGCCTCGCTCAATCATCTCTCCTTCAGTGCCCATCATGTCATAGACTACCACAAAGTTTTCAGTGCTGCTTTCTCCGGTAGCCGATGCGTCGCCACAAGTGAAAGTGTAGGGACATCCGTTCTTGACCAAATTCTCACAACCTTCCAACACCACCAGGTTGTGGCAGACCGCCCAGTTTTCATGCGTCAAACAACTGTCACCGGTCCAAGCACTGGCTAACACCGGTGGCTGATAATCCCCACATAGACTCAAGTCTTGGTAGGGATTAAACTTTTGGGAGGTGGCGACCACCCTCAAGTCGTTGCCGTGGATATCTACCGAGTATCGATCGGGGAGCTTTCCCCGCAAGACACCGACGGACTGGAAGGAAGCACCGAGTTCCGGTGTTGCGGGGGCAATCTTCAGGTGCAATAGGAACACGGTCGAATTGCTCGATTCTGTTTCCTGGTTGTAGTCGAAACGATCCACACTGACAACAATCGAGTCGGCTGCCGCAACAATGGACGGGTGAGCCGAAGGACCGAGAAAGCCCGTGGTGACTAGCTTGAGATCGTTTTCCACAAAGGAGTCGACGGGCAGATCGTTGGGATCGATGGAATGGATCTGGATGTAGGCGCGGAATGCTTCGTCCAAGGCCGCCGTTGGGTTCTTCCCCGGCATCTCGTGATTGTTTCGTCGCCGGTCCAAGGTCCAATCGTTGATCTGTAGCAAGGGCGGCAATTGGCCTCGATTGGACCGTAGAATCTCCTCGGCCATCTTCGTGACGAACGTTGGAATGACCGTCTCCTTGGCAAGCTTTGAAGCCTGCTCGATGTACTGGGTCTGATTAAGCCCTTCAAAAAGAGGACTGGCTGGATCCAATGGTGCTCGCAGGTTTGAAAAAACGTCGATATCTGTGCCACTAATGACATGAACACTTTGTGTTTCCTCCACGTAGCGACTGTCCAAGTAGTGTCCATTAAGATAATCGGTTGCCACCAGTGTCAAGAGTGGTTGCTCAACGGTGGGTTTCAAATACACGTGCACTTTGGTTTCATTCTGAACAAAGGTGATGCCTCCATCCATGGCAACGCCGTACCCTCCCACAAAAACCAAGACATGCTTTTCTGTCAATTGGATTGCCTGAATCCAAGGATTGTTATGGGTACCGTACTCATTCATGGGTGGAAGCGGCATTTTCTCGTCTGTGACCATGTTGCCGCGGCGATCCCAGACCACCAAATGATCCCCATAGGCAGCATAGACAAAGTTTCCATCTTCTTTCACAGAGTCTGCTTCGTCGACATTATCTTCCTGATTCACCGAGCGAGAATTGGCAACTTTGTCGTTGAAGAGACGGCGCCCGCTGTTATTATTTCTTGTGGTATCTGTTGCCCCCACAGTTCCTTCTGCGGTGTCATCTATTAGGGTAGCCTGCTGCACCAAGAGATTGCGGACCATATCCGTTGCGGCTACACGCAAGTCTTCCTCCAGTGCCTCACGGCTCTTGTATGGCTGGATAACATTCTTGGAGAAGGATGGTACAGGAGGGCCGTCTAGGCCATAAAAGTTGGGAGCATCGACGGTGGCACTTTCTGGTTGGTCTTGGTTGTCTTGTGGGGTTTCAGTGGAGGGCTCAGAGTCGATGGTCACGGTATTCGTGGTCTCTTCCGCCGAGCTGCCTCCACTGGTGCTTCCACCTGGGCCAGGACCCAACGGTGATGACCCCTGGACGCCGTTACTAGTGCTAGCCGATGACTTGGTGCCATTATCTCCCTTCTTGGTTGCCACCACCACCACCACTGTGACAGTGACAGCCACTACAAGCAACGAGGCCAGTCCCAAGAAGAACAACACCCTGCGGCGGTTAGGACTTCTTCTCTTTTCCGTGCTGTCATCTCCAAACCCAACACCAGAACTAGATTGGGTGCTCTTGCTATCCACTTCGTCGAAACCTCCCTCTTCATCTAAATAGGGACTTTCGGGCATCCCCTCATCATCATGTTCCATCCCCATTGTTTGATTGCTTTCTTTGCTGTTGTTGTGAGGGTTGACTAATACCACTGATAATAATGAAGCATTACCTCAAATGAATGAAATAGAATCGGTGCAAACGGCTAATAGAGCTTTTGTCGGAGAAGCACAACGAGAAAACTGGACAAAAATGAAGGGAAAAGTACTTTGCGCGAAAGTGCGTTGTTCAATCCACGTGTGAATATGGAGCATCTGGAAAGAGGATTTAGGATCTAGTTTGGAGTAACACAAAGTACAAACCGCAACCTAAATACTATTAATCAGGTCAACACAAAAGAGTTAGGACTCTGCTCTCTTCACCGCCTTTTTCTCCTGTCAAAAGTAAAAGGACGGTTATGGATCTTGCATTGCTGAGCTGTTCCTGCTACCGCTACTTGCAGGTTTCCCGCCCCTTGATAGCCCGATGAGGCAGAGCACCATAGTTTGCCTTGGGTCCAGCCCTCCATTTCTTTCCAAGTCTATCTACTAGCTAGCTAGCCACTCCGATTAGCCAGTATTATGCTTGCCAAAGCTCCTTCAATCTCCACTCTGCGCCACCAATCTGACTGGCTTTGTCGACCAATGCTGTCAAATCGTTGTAGACTACTGTACACCCAGCTACCGCTAGCTGCACTTCATCAGCCCGACAAAAGCATAGGCTGACAGGTTCCAGAGGGACGAGTCGAGCTGTTAGATGCCAAGAGAAAACTTGCTGAGACCTTTTGACTGAACACTGCTGGCATGTCGCCTCACACATGCAGCAATCTGCGTCTGAGATAAGAAACTCTTGGGGCTTTGTTTCCCTTTGTTGTTGCTCCTGCGGTACCGTAAAAGTATATCCCAGAACTGAGAGAAATACTGAGAGCCTGTACCTGTGGTAGTGGATCCTACAGGAGGTATGGAGAGGTATCGAACACCTGGTGTATGCTTGGTTGACGGTCGTTCATTCATACCAGTGAGGATCGAACGAAAGGTCACCGCCTTGGCCGTAAGATAAATGAGGTTCGCACCTCTACTACTCACTGTTAAGATAACGGTCGCACCTCTATTATCCTCGAATTCAATCGCTCGCACCTCTCCGAAAATGCACAAGTCCTCGAAATTGCTAGCTAGACTAGTAGCTAGCTAGCGTTCGAAAAGCACAAGTTGCTACCACGAAAACGAAAACGCTACCAGCACGAAAACGAAAAGCCACAAGTCCACGAGAAAACACAATAAGTACTCATGTAACAGACTCACTATAAGGCATGGCTACCATGCTGATTAAACTAAGGTCAACTTTACTGAGCACGAACAATACAAAGATCCTCATGCAGACTGCCCATAATGGTGTCCTGCTTGATGGCAGCAGTAATATTCAAAACACTTCCTTTGTAATGCTCCTCAATCTTGGAGATGACCCAAGCTGGAGCTTTCTGAGCATTGACAAGTGTAGCCATGAGAGTCCAGAGTGGCTTCCTCCTGGAGTAGGTTGACTTGCAAGCCCTGATATCATCAGCATGAAGTTCTTGGCTGGCTTTTGCCACCAATACCATGCATCCACTCTTGCCAAGCAGAGCCAACAGTTTCTGTACTTGGCTAGCTTGGCAGGCCTACTATCAGCAGGGGTGGTGGGCCACAGCTTGTCTGTACCTGAGGCTAGTCTGGCCATTCCGGCGAGTCCTTTCCACAGTCACCCATTTCTAAAAAGATTACTATCTACCTGATCAGGTGTTGCCATCCTTGGAGGCTGAACAGCAATCCTAAAAACAAACCAAAATGCAGAGTTAGCAGCAGTAATAGCCATAGTTGCAATAGCCAACAGCCACAAGTCCATACTTACCTGCAAATATTTCCATTGAGTTTCGTCAGCTCCGCGCCAAGCCAAGTCTCCAACCAACCTCTCAAAGCAGCAGCCGAACTGTCGCGGGTCCTACCTTCCTGCGCAATGAGCTGCTGGAGCTGGTTGTGCTGCGCAATAATCCTTGTCAGAATCTCCTCGTTCGTTCGTACCTGCTGTTGCGTTTGCATAGCCGTCACCTGCCGAGACTGATTGGCAACTTGACGAGTGCTTGCCTGGCGGTCGTTCCCGTAGTGCCACCAGCCGTGCCACCGCCACCTCCCGTATCCATCGGCTCCGATTTCGTTGATGTGGAGCTTGGTGTTGTGCGTCCAAATAGAGAGAGGCACTTTCACCACAGGGTTGACGCCAACAGGAACATCGGCCTTGATGCGCTCGTACGCATCTTGGATCCTAACACGGACGGGAGGCTCCATCCTCTCCTCCAAGATTCGTCAAGAGCAGCCACAAAAGAGGCAGAGCCAAGTGAAGCGAAATGTCGTTTACACCGTCGTAAAACGCATGTGTCCTTGGCACCACATGCTCAATCAACCAATCGGGAGTCACTCTCTTGGCATCCGGGTGTAGCTTGTAGGCAATAGGAGCCCCCATGCAAAGCTTTTCGGCAACACGGGCGTCGATCCAGGGCTGTTCAGGCGAAATGTAGGCATCAACAACCCGTCCAGACAAGCGAGCCTTCCAGCGACCTCGAATGTCAACTTCGTCAGCAGTAGCACCCATCCCTCTTGCCAGAGTTGCAGCAAACTTCCGAATGCTGTGACTCCCAAGAACACCAGCAATGAGGAGCGCCACAGCCAGAAATGGAGCCGACAAAAAGACAGCCTTGAGAATGTTGCGGTAGGCTGCGTTGCAGTGCTTGGAGCCAACTTGGGATCGCTTTCGGGAGTAAAGAGGAATGCATCTTCCCGACCAGCGGCGCCATACCCGTAGTTGAAGGACGCCTCCATGTAATTCGCCAATCCGAGCATAGCACAAAAGTCGGTATCCATCGACCCAAGAATATTTGGTCGGGGCATTGTCGTTCTTCCGGAATATTCTTGGACCAATGCACCTTGCAACTGGCGCAAAAGGGAAGTCTGATGCGGCTTGTAGTCGGAATACTTCAACTTGGAGATGTCATCCGTCCTGGTGATGAGATGGACTTGCTGCTTCAACATGCAGGCTGTACGAATGGTCGATTCAAAGCTCCCTTTGCCGTAGAGTTCATGGACCACCTTGCGATACTCTGTTTCCGTCAAATCCCTGTGGCACAGGACTTCTTGCCGCGGTGTTGAGTCTCCGCTTTCTTGACTTCCTTGACCACTTCGTTCACTGGATCGGACTTGGTTGGATTTCCGGAGGTCCCATTCCATGTGGCACCTTTGATGGGCATGTAGAAGGAAATAGCCTTCTTGTCTTGCTCAAAGTAGAGGAGCGGCAAGTTGATTCTGCTCAAGATCTTTGAAGTCAACATCGGTCGTACCATACGCACGCCATTTCAAGTAGTCGGCAACGTGGTGTGGTTGGATGCCGGCCAAAGCACTAGGTTGGAAGCGAGCCGCCTTGGTGTATGTCCTCTTGTGCAGCCAGCTCATGAATTTGACGAAGAGACGTGGTAATCCGGTTGTACTTGGGCGTTCCGTGGGTGCTTCAGGCAATCCGGCACGTCTTCCAACCCAAGCTGCTCCACATTGGCATTGGCCATGGCCATGGTGGATGAATTGTTTGTCAACTAAGCAATTGTTGTTTGGTGGAACAATTTCGGCAGAGTTTCCTTTACAAAGTAGAAGGATTGGAAATAATGAGGAAAACTGAAACTGAACTAAACTGAACTGAACTGACTGAACTGAACTGAACTACCGGTGATTGATCGATCGATCGCGGGATTTGCCCGTTCGTTGCCTCTTTACTTACTTGAACGACGTACGACTGTACTGGTAGTACATGTACGATTGCTTGAGTATACACGAACGATTGTACGGTGGCTGGAGAGCTTGAGAGTACCGTTCTTTCTTCTTTCTGCAAGTTGGATCGGCACATTGGGAATTGACAGTATGTTGGGTGTTACTTAAGGCGAAATCGGAATCCTCTCAGTATGTGCTTGGTCTTAATGCCGGTGTTATATCTCCTGTGTTGCAGTTTATTTAATAATGAGAGTCTTATTGAGAGGATCTTTGTTTCAATGACTGCCAATACCATAGGTTTTCTACGTAGCATACTGTCATTGATCCTGAGGGTATGTAAGATCCACTAAGTAGTAGTGTGAAGCACATACTGAGGGTGTGCAACTACTGTTGCAGAAATGTAGTACCGTACTAGTAACGAACCGTGGCTAGTACTCTTGATGTTATCTTAAAAGCAAAGGAAAGCTCCAATGTGCTTTGTTCACCGAGGAACCGTGGTAAACAGTGCTCCACCGCACCGTTACCTAAATCGAAGCTCCCCCCAAAGCCAAAGCGTCACAGTTCCGATGTGCAGCAGCAGCAAACTGCAGAAGCTCAAGTTTGCCGCGCAAAAGCCCCAGAAGTCTCGATTGTTCCAAACAAAAGTGATCCCCATCAACCACTCCGATTGTCCGTCATCACCCTGTCCACGTATCTATGAACACTAAGAAGATCCTTTCCATCTTGTTGCTGTGCTTGGTGGCTTTTCTTGGCAACGCCCAGCAAGAACAAGCCACCATGATGATGGGTGGCTACCGAACCGCGGAAACCACGGGCGAACGGGTTGTGGCAGCCGCCCAGTTCGCTCTGGCAGCCTTGGTGACCGAACATCCCTACAAGTTTGCTGCCACAAGCACCATGAAGGTGGTGGTGTTGAAGGCATCTCAGCAAGTCGTGCAAGGAATGAATTACAAGCTGACACTGGCTATACTACAAGAGAATGATTGCGTGGGTGCGTTGGAATGCACCGTATGGGACAAGTTTGGGGATCTTACCGTCACGCACTGGGGAGAGGAAGTGTCGTGCAGTGAAGCCATGGGGATGATCAAAATGAAACAGCAGCAAGACACCACTGTAGAAAAAGATCCAGAAACATGAGAAAACGATGGTGTGCCCAAGCATTTGCCTCCAGGCACAGTTGATTTTTTGTGCCTGAGCCTTCAGTGACGGACCCGTTACGGTACGCTTGCTTCGATCTTGAGAGAAAAATTAGGTCCTCCCCAACATCATGCAATGCCTGAGATAAGGATTATCAATACAACCATTTCGCCTACATACTAGCTAGCTAGAACCGGAACAAAAGAAAAGTGGATCAGGCATTCGTTGGAAGCGAAACTGCCTTTTCCTTTCCTGCGAGCCATTACACATACTCACGTAGAATCAGTTGTTCCCAACTCGAATCCGTACAGCCCAACTCGAATCCGTCAGCAAAAGAAGGGAGAAATCAAAAGAGCTACTGCACATCACGAAATGAATGGATTGCTTGTACATGTAATAAATGGGCCAACCCAGGACATCCCATACCCCCCAAAAAACAGAAGAGGTGCTAGCTACCGGTACCGGTATACCCCCAAGACAGAACAAGAGTGCAAATTGTGATCTTCTTTGCGTGCTTTTTCTTGAAAGGTGCCAAGTAAGTAATGATTTGGCAATCTTTGCCGTTACTTGAGTTCCAACAAAGCCACAGCTTCGAAATTGAGTACTAGCTAGTAGCAAGGATCTAGAAAATGAATCTAGGGGATTGAACATATATTGGCTATCGCGTACCCCACACTGCAGATTGTAATTGAAATTTAACATGGACACGAATCTCAGAGACAATGATGTTCATACCGGTGCCACTGCATGATCACGTAGGCCAACTAAAATCTGTTTAGTCATCTTTTTTGGTTGCTGGATCCTTTGCTTCGACAATTTCTTCTTCTTCTTCTTCCACTACTACTTGGTCGTCCAGATCTTCTTTTCGAACCTTTCGAATGACTTTCTTTTTTCGCACCTTGGGCCATTTGACCAGAGGTTCTACCTTGGTAGTGGTGTATCCCTTGGTTTGGAATCCCACCACAATGGCCATGGATAGTGCCAGCAAGAAGGGCATGATAAAATCCACTTCCATACTCAGTTTTCGTTCCGGTTTTCGCCGCGATTCCAGATACCCCATGTAGAGACCCAAACAACCCACGAGCGATGGAAATGCAATAAAGACGGCGATACGGGCCATCCAGGTAATTTGCACTTGTGATGGTGCTTTCGTTGCAGGGATATCAAGGACATGCTTGTCGTAGGTGTTGTTGGCAGCTTGGTCTGACATTATTAGTTAGTTTTGTTAGTCTCAATAAAACAAATGCGTCTACTACTACTGCACTGCTTGGAAGATTCAACTTCGAATCTATGATGACAACAAGTAAAAGTCAACAGAGAAAGGTTTTGTTCGGAGTTCGAGGCAAGAATGATGAGATGCAGTTTTGCTGTCTTCTAAAATTGCTCGGAATTACACGGAACGGGTGCACGGCGCAACGCTAAATGTCCATCTGCACCTCCCCCGGCGGTTCGCGGAAGAGTGCAAACTGAAAACCGTCTCTCACTTTTCCAATCAAAACACTGACGGACCCACCGGTAGCTAGAAGAAAATTAGAGTTCAACTAACTATCTAGATCTACAAAGGTTTAACCATTCGCTTTGACGATGGCGTTGCCTTTACTCACCACAAGAAGAAACTTTGATCGATATATGGGAAGTGCTAATAGAGGTCAACGTGTTTTTAATTACACCTTTCTGTTCTCCCTTCCCATTGGTGTCATCCATCTGTTTCTAGTTTTGAACTTCTGCTGGAGCAGTCCCAGCATCAATCCAGCCCCCAGAGTGAGAGTAGATCCACAAGGACCATTCACCAAGACACCGTCGTACCCCTCCTCTGAAACATACGATGGCACACAGGAACAAACAGATAACAATGGAAGGATATATACCAATATTTTTCAGAAGATATCCGGTGAAGGATGGCAAGTCTGGCATGACAATGATACCCCACTGTATCCCCCCTCCGATGATACCAACTTGGCATGCCACTGGGCACGTTTTCGCCCCAAGAGACAGTATCCAAATCTAGATGACGTGAATACAAGGATGCTTCGAGAGCAGGAGCAGCCGCCAGTGCAAATCTGTCTTCACGACGCCAAATCCGATCAATACGTCAGTCGCAAGATACGAGAACGGGGACACTGGGAAGATTGCGATTCCTTGACGTACTATTGGTATACAACCAACAATCTGCACCAACAATCTACAGATGATGATGACGATGAAACCTCGTCACAGCAATGGTTTCTCGACATTGGAGCCAATATTGGTGCATGCGTCCTGCAAGTACTGCTCACCACGTCTGCGAACATTATGGCGTTTGAGCCAGAACCCACCAACCTGTTCCACTTGACAAGCACCATATCACGGCTAGAACCTGCACTCCGGAAACGCGTGTACGTATTCCCCATTGGCCTGGGAAATGCTACCCAAAAGGCTCCCATCCATGTAGCCGCCGACAATCGAGGCAACGCGGCCATTGGACAACCCATTCCGGACCGACACCAGCAGGATCAGGTATTTTTGCCGCCCAACATGGTTCCTGTTGAACGACTCGATGATATCTTGATGAAACAACACAAAATTCGCTTGGCCAAAATGGATGCGCAAGGCTACGAATGCCGCATTTTGGAAGGGGCCCAAACAACCATCCTCCAAGAAACATCCGCACTGGTCTTTGAATTAGAACGCACCATGCTACGTGCCAGCGACGATTGCAGCGAACAAATGCTATGGGATATCATTGTACAAGAATCATCATGGGAGGTGTACCGGGACGACTTGTTGCGAAATGGTGTGGCGCCTGCTTCGGCTCGAGCATCCAGAAAGACCGTATATGCGGATGGGGTCAATCTGGTCGCAGTCAATGAACGGATGCGAAAGAATAATAAGAATGAGCCAGAGACTGCTAGATAGTACTTCCGGAACTCATTACCAAACGCAACCACAACAAATTGACGGTTCCAATGAGTTCTGGCGGTAGCCAGCGGCATGCATGACCTGAAGTCGCGGTGTCCCTCCCAAGCGATCAATGAAATTGAAGTTTTCTCTGACATACAGAGGTCACTTCTTATATAATAGACGTACAGTAGCACCAACCGGTTGGTTACATACAAACAATAGCTAAAGACTAGACAAGCCCGGTTGGTTGACTTGTTATGAAAGGCTCTCCCGTGAATTCCGATTCGGCTTGAAACAGCAGTCAACACCAAACATCGCGCCTCAGTAACTCGGCCAGATGATTGATGTAGTGCTGATTCTTTGTTAGGATCGTTCGCTCTTGCAGCAAGAAATAAACTCTAATCAGGACTTGGTCGGTCTTGAATCGAATCGGTTCGACTGGTAGCTAACGTGCTGCGGATATGTCATGCTCTTCCTGACGAGAGTTTATCTGGACAGGAGCGCAGTGTACATCCACCTTTACCCTCCGCATAATGACATTCATCTGCGTTACTCAAAGCAAAAGGTACAGCATGACGGCAATGCACATTGGATTTCTGGAGGTGTCCCGGCACAATCTGCCCAAAGATCTTCGAGAATGGCGCTCTGGCGAAGTTGACACATCGAAGAAGGCATTGACCCCGAAAAGCTGTTGCCATTGAGCAGGAGCTCGGTCAGACGAGTAAAGGCACCCTACACCAGGAATGGATTCAAACGTAGTTGAGACAAAAAGGTCCCTCAAAGAAACAGGAGGGGGGAGGGGAGACACTTACCGCTGGGATCTCGGGAACGGTGCCTGTTACGACGGTTGCGGAATCACGTGAGCCGGTTCAGCTCCCAAAATGGTTGCCACAAAGTACGAGTACATGACAACGACCCACTTACCGGATAGATTATTGTCATCCAAAAACAGGTCACGAAGAAGGACTGCATTGGACCAGCTTTGGGGAATTGGACCTTGCAGAGCATTGGATGACATGTACACAAAGCGAAGGTCTCGAAGCACGAAAAAGCTCGAAGGCAGAGTTCCTGTGATCTGATTCGCACTGAAATCCACAAAGTCCAGGTTGCGAAAGTCGTCGAATCGATCGGGGATGGTTCCTGTGATCAGATTGTCATTCAACAAGAGATTCACTACAGGTGCAGAGAAAGCAAAAGATTAGAATAAGTGGAGAGATGGAAAAGCAATCCCCATTGTCACGCGCTTGCTTACCCATGGAAGATAGTCGAAGCAAGGTGATTGGAAGCGTTCCCACGAACTTGTTGTTACTCAGAAAGAGGTCCGTCAGCCCCAACAAGTTTCCAAGGCCATTGGAAATGGAACCAGTAAGCTCGTTCGAATCCAATCGAAGGAGAGTCAGACGCGTGTTGAACCAAAGCTCTTCTGGCACCTTAGACGAGAACTGGTTATTGTTGGCCAGCAGCTCCCTGAGATTCAAGCGACCCAACTCCGACGGAAGGCTCCCTTCAAGCTTGGAGGCGTAAAGGTACAATGTTTCTGCAACAACAAAAAGACAAAAAGCAGCTTAGCCATGATACCAGAAACGCATGGGATGAAATGATGTATTAGTCGAACGTACCCAGTTTTTCCAAGTTTCCAATTTCGGGAGGGATCGTCGCGCCTTCAAACTGATTGTTTGCCATCCAGAGCTCCTCTAGATTTTTGAGAGAGCCAAGTCGACTTGGAATACCGCCCGAGAAAAAGTTGGATGATATTCGCATTTGCCTCAAACTGGGAACAGAGAGCACTGCCTCGAAGGGTGACCCACTCATGGAGTTGCCTTCCACATCTAGAAAGACTAGAGTAGATGGCAATTCTACAAGAGGACCCTCAATGGAGTTCCCCGAAACATCAAGACGACGAAGAAACCTTATTTTTCCCACTTCAGGGGGCAGAGAGCCACCGAGAGAGTTCTCTCCTGGAGAGGACCAACAAATGCAGAAAGTGTGAGTGAGTCGAAGTTGGCCAAGTAAAGTAACAGTAGAATTATGCAAACGAAATAACTTACGAAGTTCCAACCGGGTCACACCACCACTGCCATTGCAATTGATTCCAAGCCAAATGCATTCTCCGTCTTCCGAGAGCCAACCATTGCTGGCATCCCATGAGTTACCTCGAGTGGCAAAGTAGAAGGTTGCCAGAATGTATCTCTGCCCCGGAGTTGGATACGTGCAAGGATCAATTTGTGCTGGATCTTCCTGCAGCATCCAAACATAGGCTTGGGCCTGAGGTGTGTTGGGATCTGTCAGGACTGTCTCATCCATGGTGATGGGTGCAATGGCCATCAAGAGTGCTTCGCTTCGAGCCATGTCTTCACATTCCGGAACAAGAGGCTGTGTTGGAGGCAACGGTGCAGGAGTGGGCCGGTTCGTGGGCACGGGAGTTGTTGGCCGAGGGGTTGGCTCATTGGTTGGTTGAGGTGTGGGCTCCCTGGTAGTTGGGAGTGGAGTTGGCTCTTTGGTGGGTCTTGGTGTTGCTTTCCTGGTTGGCCGGGGTGTTGGCTGATTGGTTGGACGAGGCGTGGCTTTTGGAGTTACCTGAGTGGGTTGTGGGGTCGGTGGATTGGTCGGTCTCACTGGAAGGATTGCAGGGATAGTTGGTTGTGGTGTAGGCAGTGGTGTTACCGGTCGAGGAGTGGGCATTGGTGTTACCGGTCGAGGAGTGGGCCTTGGAGTTGCAACAAAGATCGGTTGCAGTGGGTTCTGGTCAGTTGGCCTGGGAGTTGGTCTCGGGGTATTCACGGGTCTGGGAGTTGGTCTCGGGGTATTCACAGGCCGGGGTGTTCGTGTAGGCTGTATGGGATTATTGATATTTGTTGGCCTGGGGGTATTAATACGAGTTGGTCGAGGTGTAGGAGCCGTGGCAGAAGGTTTACCGACGGAAGGTTTACCGACAGAAGGTCTACTGGGCATTAACACTGGAAAAGTTGGCTTGGGGGCTGGTTGAGGTGCACTTGGACTCTGAGGAGGTTTTTGTGTTGGACGACTTGCAGGTGCCGTGGGAGCCTCTGGTTCATAGCTTTGTGCGCCTTGAGTTTCGAAAAAGTAATACTCCAATTCTTCATTCGTCATGTCATCCCAATCCAGATTGTTGGCATTCCCTCCCTCCTCCTGCTGATCAGCCGTCGACCAAACATAGGTCGCTTCAGCATCCGCCTTTCTATCGCTTCGATAATCCCCCGTCCTACTGCGTTTCCCTCTTCCTTTTTTCTTGAGCTGACGCCTGCTGCCACTCTCGGAAGCCTGACCGTTTTGCCATGGAAGATCTTCCTCTTCTTTATTATTCTCGCCTTGGACAACGACATATCTCCGTTTCCGTCTCAGTGTACCTCCTGAAGTACCATGGAGCAACGAAAGGGCTGACAGTATCAGTGCTGCCAGTGTTCTGGACCTCATGGTTGCTTTATCTAGCTAGTTAGCTCTATATTTGACAAGAAATCATTCGTTTGAGGATCGGATCTCCCTCCAATGCGAGAAATGTGGCGGGCCATTCAAGCGAGGCTCGACGAGCACACCACGCCATAAGTACCATAAACCATTCAAACCACCAGGGCGCCTGTTTCTCACGAGTTGAGACAACAGTAGCTCGTGAATTATTGCCATCAGTCCCTCATCCAAGCTTCAGACAGCCGCTAAATTATTAAAATACCGGTACATGTAGCTGACGGCGGGCGGGATGGACCGTCATGGACCTCAAGGAAGTAAGTGATGCCGTGGTGCCCTCTGCTTCCCAGGGCAAAGGGATGAATGCTTTGTCTTAGCTAGCTACGATGTAGCCTCCACAACGATGATGGATACTTGGTTCATGGAGGGCAGATGCTTGACACTGGCCCTGATTGAGCCTTAATGAGCGAGGTAGCTAGCTCCCCCAGCAGTGGAATGATAGAAGAGTGGGCACCAGCCACGCTCTAGTCGGGTCCTTTTTCTGCGTACATCCTGGTTGGAGCAACGTAGGTTCTTCCTCAAAACTAGCATAGGAGGCAGGGCTGGAAGAATCAAACTCTCTGTCTCCTTGCAGGCCCAATGGTTAGTTGGTGGTTGCCGCGACTCTCGCCCTGTACGGTCAAGCAGATCTCCCAACGCGTTTTCAGTACATGTTTGCCAAGAACGTAAAGCTGTGCTTTGCTTGGGATACCCTGCCAGAATGGATCTCAAGAGTCTGAGAATCATCAAAACGGGTCAACGTGCGTGAAGCATGCTAGCCACTTTTGGTTTGATGCTTTTTTCTTGGCAATCTTGCCCACTAGCTAGCTGCTAGTTTGGTGAGGAAAAGTTGCTGAACTGGTGCGGTCTGAAACTCAGAAATGGAGTGGTTGCTTGCGTTGGATAGACTTCATCACACAAGAAGCTGTGCGTCGTGGCGAAGAGCGGCAGCGAATGAGGATTTGTGCAGGTGTCGGATTCATCATTCAACTGTAAAACACTCCTTTTGCTTGGCTGCCAGTTGAGTGCTTGTGGGAGCTCCTCTGACTCGGAAGAGTAGATGTAGGTGGGTTGTGGGCTACTAAAACTATCTAAGGGTAGCTAGCTAGTAGATACATACATGTAGATAGAGAGGAAGGAAGTGGCTGGAAGCTTGATGATTGGCGAAGCAATCCATGCAATAGTATCTTCTTTGCTATACATGTACTAGCACAAAGCCAGCCAATGATACTATTGGCTGCAAGAGGCACCTGCACTGCTTACTGGCAGAGTGGCGGTCCATTGGTGCAATAGAGAGGCAGCCCTCAATTGCTTGACCTCTTCTTGGGCTGCTGCTTCTATCAGCCATCATTGCAAGTGCATAGAGCATGTCATGCTTGCTGTCTGCTTCTAAGCTAGCTAGTAGTAGAGAGTTAGTCAAACGAAGGGAGGGCCCAGAATAGAGGCAAGCAAGACAGGTGGGAAAGACCAAGAAGTCACAGGGTTGGGGTACTGTGGCAGCTGTCTGGCTGGGGCTGGGGTGATGCTACTTTCAAGCCTCCCGTCCATAGCGTACAATTCTACGTGCTCAGTACTGGACTACCCAATTGCCACCAAAAGAGAAAAACGGCAAGGCGCCTTTCAGTCTCATCATTGCGCTGAAGCAAAAACCTCCCTTGCTTGGCCATTGACCGTCCACTCTCACGGTTGCTTCCAGCAGCTACCTATTGGCTAAGAGTTGCTAGTCCTCTCTCAATTCATTGGCTGTCTCTCTACCCTCCCCACATTGGCGAAAAGGAAGAAACAGAACCAGTCTTTTTAACACGAGCAGCCTTGGGGTCTTGGCTGAGGCCAACTTTTTCGTGGTATCAGCATTTATTCATTGCTATTTGCGCTTAAGATCCCCTCCAACAATTCTGTGAGAACCTAGCTATCATAGCTAGTGGGCCATAACGAGTTTGTTTGACAATTCCAGAAGATGGCGGGTGGAGATTCCATGGCGGCAGGAGTGCCAGCGGGTCCATCCACAGGGAATGGCGCAATGACTGATGGCGTGGAGCGAGGCACAGCGACCTCCGAGAACATGGGAGGTGGGAGTGGGATTGTTGGGACCACAGATGATGCCTCGCAAGAGGATAAAGTGAATCCATTCAAGCGCAAGGCAGAAGATGTGAGTTCGATAAAGGCTGAAGATACGACTGACGATGGCAATCATCCTTTGGGTAATAGGGAGACGAAAAGGGTCAAGATTTCTGACGACTCCACAAATAATCCAATTGATGCTACTGTATCCAATGATCCAACTCCAGCAATTAAACATGAGACCTTAACTGAGATGGAAACTGATGCAACGAAGAAAGATCCCCCAGCCGTGTCTGTGAAGGATCTCCAAGACCCCACGAAGCCACCTGCTCCTGAGCCTACTCCTGTCAATCAAGATACATACAAAAATTCCAAGGACTTTGCTTCTTCTGAACCTGATAAATATCATATGGATACCCAATCAACTGAACATACCCCTGACCCAGATGGATTGGTGGCTAGAGAACTTGACAGTGTCGAAGGTACCCCAACCAACAAGGGAGTCATGGACCTGGAAACAACCGGGAAAATGGCAGCTGATGCTCCCAGCAATCCTGATCATGCCTCTCTAGATCCACCTTCCGTAAATGGCAGCAAGGAAGACGACACTACTAAGAAGAAGGATGAGGAGCCACCCGAAACCAATAACTTTTTGCCCGTGGCGAGTCGGAAAGAACTGTATGACAGACCAATGGACCAGAGTGATGAGGAGGACATTGACGATGACAGGTTCAAGTCGCGACCCTCAAAGAAACCGCCACGATCATCAGCAAGAAACAGCAGTGCGTCCAAGAAAAAAAAGCTTCCAAAAGAAGTCGTCACTTCTCTTTTGGATTTGCCAAAGTTGTCTTCCAAAGCAACTCTTCCAAAGCTTTCAGCAGATGAATTGAGAGACCTGGAAACTGTTCTAGAGTTGACACAGGGAGAAGGAGAAGAGGAGGGCTGGAGAGATGATTGGAGTGGGAACCTGGCACTTGTCGATAAAGAAATCACCAACCCAAAGAGGACTCGAAGTGGAAACCAAGCAGGAAGCTTTCGACAGGCTCTCTATCTCTGGGCGCAAAAGAGCAATTCTACTGCACTAAAATTCATGCACTACCTATTTCGGTATGTCTTTCACCTGAAGGATACCCCACCCATGGCAAGAACAATTTTGGCAAATGCAGATAAGAAGGACGGAAACGCCATGGAAGAGGCCTTTCGTCGTGTCTCGTATGACCCGCAAGTCCTCCAACAGGACGGGTGGACCACTGCCCAAGCACCAGAGCCGGTGGGGGCTACGGGGGGAGCCCACCGAATTGGAGAAAAGGTCCGATGGCAAGGAGCGGACGGAATGGTCATCGCTTACATTCACGACCATGACCTGGGAGATTTATGGCGTGCAATTTGGCTGGAGGAAGGAATGGAAAGTTTTGATATGGAGGCGGAAGAGCTAAATGACGCTCGGCGCAAGTGGGAACGACGTGTGAAAGCAACTGCTACTGCGTCGGATTCTTCGGGTCAAGGGAGGAGGCAATCCCAGAAAAGGCAACAAGATGATCTAAAGGGTCGCCGGTCACACAGATATACGTCCGCAAATGATTTGAGAATCAAGGGCGTGGAAGACGGGATTGTTTTGGCAGCCAGTTTCAGTAAAGGCGCTCGGCCCGGGGTTTATTGGCCAGCCAGAGTGATGCATGCATCTGAAGCGGCAATACTCACTCCCGGCAACAAGAGCAAGAGAAATGCACCTCGGCAGAGGCTGGACCTTGTATTTCTGGCGCCCTACTGGAACTCCAGCAACAACGGTCAACCGGCGTCGTCGGGGACAGGGAGTCGCCGAAATGTGGAGTCGTTTGCAGAAAGTTTGTCCAGACATGGCGAGTCATTGTTCAACTCAGGTCCTTTATTTGATTTGGAAAGTGTGGATGTGTCAGATGAAATGATCAAGGAGTACCCCTACGATGCCAGGAGTGGAGGAATCAATATTGAGCAACTGCGTGTTGCATTTCGTTTCTCTGGGCTTCCGAAAGCTGCATTTGCGAGGTTTCTAGACAGCCATAGGTTGGCTCTTGCGTTAAAGACCTATGCCCAAGAGAGGCTTCCTCGAAGAGGGTCGGATCAGGTCAGCGCAGGGTTGTTCGAAACGCATCCCATGTCTTTGATGGCCCCAGTCTTCCCACCCGAGATTTTGCATTTACCATATCCATTTGTACTGGCACAACTGCCTGCCCCTCCAACCGAGCAAGACATTGTGCACGATGGCGAAAGTCGAGTCAACGAACCCATATTGCAGCTGAGCTATATGGTTGACTCTATGAAGCCACCAAGCTGCTGGGGACACGACAAGCCACGCTCGAAAAACGGTTCACGAACACCCGCAAGAAAGGCGTCTCAGAGAGTGGCAGATTCACCCTTCATTGACGCCAGCGCACTATTACGCAAGGTTGGCAAAGAAGGCGACAAGTCCGTGGATCTAGATACTTTCAAGAAGGACCTAGTTTTATTGAATCAGACGTTGTCGAGTGGTGGAAGCTCTGGACTTGAGTTCCTTACCCAAAACCTTGAGAGGCTTTTGCATTGTGTTTCACCCGATTTCTCCAAGTTGACAGTGGATGAAAAGCAAGTCAAGGCAAAGGCCATTGCTCGATCGTGGATGTTTACAAAGGTAGGCCCCTGCCGCGGGATCGTTCATCCGGCGTACCATTGTTTTGTTTTGATTCGATTTGATTCTAATCTAATCTTCTTGAACAAAATGCAGGCTAGCGGCGAAGACGCGATTGGGGCATCCGTGCAGCGCAACAGTAGTGCGGTGCTTTCAGAATGGAGGCGAGTGTGCGAAAGGGTTTATAAGTATATCACTCATGCTTTTTCTTCTGGTGGCTATGGGAATGGGGTCTCCGCGGTTCTTACTGACTTCCGATGCAATCAACATGTCACATCCTGTGGCTGTTTTGAACGAACTGTTCGACTCCCGGCAGCTCTGAAGGCGGCAAGAGATGTAGGTGCAGGGAAAAAAGAAAGCATCCAATTGGTTACAAGTGTAGAGAAAAGCTTCCTCGATACGGTTGAAAACAAGGTGTTGATGATGGCGCATAGTGCATCCTACCTACGACGAATGAAGTCAAGGTGTTCTCAAATCCGGGGAGACGATGCGGTATACCTAACCGAAGACAGCGATGGCAATGGTGGCGAAGATACTAGTAAGTGTCCCTCGCTCGTTCCTCACTGTGGGCTCCCAGGCTGAATTCTAATGATTCCACTCGGCACGGCCCCCTACAGAGGGCTCTCGTGGGACATGGACCGCCGCCGTTGCTAGCGTTGGAGCAGTAATCAAGGCTGTTGACTCTGTAGTTGAGGGGAAGTATGTCAACGCGTTTTGTGCTACCAGACCGCCTGGCCATCACGCTGGACGTGAATTGCACCCAATGAAGGCGGTGTCGAATGGATTTTGCATTCTCAACACAGCTGCCTGCGCGGCTCTTTATGCAACAACTCCTCTTTCCGAAGGAGGGCCCGGGCTTCGAAGAGTTTGTGTCATTGACTTTGATGTTCACCATGGCAATGGAACACAAGATATTCTGTGCTCCACTTACGACCCGAGGTTCCTCTATGTTTCATTGCATGCCGGCGGTGCTCATGTCAACGGCTTGCCCGCAAGCGATGACTTTGGCAGTGAGATCCACATCCCTGGTGGAAACTCTCAAAAGAAAGGCATCTACCCTGGCAGATGTGGGGATACTTCTCCGCACCGTGGCGTCCTCAATATTCCGCTTGGACCACGTGTGAATTCCTCAGCAGTCGGTACTGCTCTCATCAACGAGGTGACACCGGTAAGAAGAAAGAATGCATTCGAAGTTGTTGTTGTCCGATGTTCCATGTTGTAACAATCAGTTTCGTTGTGCATACAGGCAGTTGATGCGTTTGCTCCTGACTTGATCATCTTATCAGCAGGCTTCGATGCCCATAAGAACGATCCGCTTGGATTGGGAGGCTTGTCGGCAGAAGATTTCGGCCACATCACAGACGTTGCTTGTCATCTCGCGTCAAAATGTTGCAGTGGGCGACTGGTCAGTTTGTTGGAAGGCGGATATGGAGTGCCTTGTTGCCGCCCCCAAAAGGATCTTTTCTTGCCACCAGAAACGAAAACAGCAGAGAAGAAAGAGGAGGACGGAGGCAAGGCAAAGGAGCAGACTGAACCAAACCTCGGGAACGGAGACAAGCCAACCGGACCAGCAATCGAAAGCAAAGCGGAAAGCAATGCAAATCCTTCAACAAAAGCGGAAGCGCGACCGCAGCCATCAAAGCTTTTGGATCTCGGCGACGACCTCCCTTCCGACATGGAGGATCAGGTACCTTACGCCTTGCAACGTCGACTGGAACGTTGTCATGTGGAAGGCTTCATTGAGTGTGTTCAGGGGCACGTCAAGTCACTCGCGAAATGCAGTACGCGTAGCTAAGAAGCATCACTTTGACGGTTCGGGCTGTGTGAAACTACATGATGTACTGTTGGCGCCTCTCGAGCAGCCTCGTGGCAGGCGGCCATGTAGCGATTTTGTAAGGTTGCCATTCGAGGAAAACGATGCCTCAACTAAGCTAGAGTAAGACCAATTGCACTTTGAGAAACCTACGGTATGCTTCGGGGTACCGGTACCGGTATGGAGAGTTAACCTAGCTTGCTTGAGAGATTGAAAGCAACCCGCTAATTGCCAGTAGACCTTCTGACACCGCTCCTACACCTCGACCAGCTCATATCAATACTCCCAGACCAACACAGCCTACATGAACACCCGGCCCATGAATACACAAACCTTCTCAGAGTCCAAGTGCACCTCAACCAGCCCCCAAGCCAACTTTTCCAGCGTTAATGCCCAGTAGACCTTCGGTCGGTAAACCTTCTGCCACGGCTCCTACACCTCGACCAACTCGTATTAATACCCCCAGGCCAACAAATATCAATAATCCCATACAGCCTACACGAACACCCCGGCCTGTGAATACCCCGAGACCAACTCCCAGACCCGTGAATACCCCGAGACCAACTCCCAGGCCAACTGACCAGAACCCACTGCAACCGATCTTTGTTGCAACTCCAAGGCCCACTCCTCGACCGGTAACACCAATGCCCACTCCTCGACCGGTAACACCACTGCCTACACCACAACCAACTATCCCTGCAATCCTTCCAGTGAGACCGACCAATCCACCGACCCCACAACCCACTCAGGCAACTCCAAAAGCCACGCCTGTTCCAACCAATCAGCCAACACCCCGGCCAACCAGGAAAGCAACACCAAGACCCACCAAAGAGCCAACTCCACTCCCAACTACCAGGGAGCCCACACCTCAACCAACCAATGAGCCAACCCCTCGGCCAACAACTCCCGTGCCCACTAACCGGCCCACTCCTGCACCGTTGCCTCCGACACAGCCCCTTTTTCCGGAATGTGAAGACATGGCTCGAAGCGAAGCACTCTTGATGGCCATTGCACCCATCACCATGGATGAGACAGTCCTGACGGATCCCAACACGCCTCAGGCCCAAGCCTATGTTTGGATGCTGCAGGAAGATCCAGCACAAATTGATCCTTGCACGTATCCAACTCCGGGGCAGAGATACATTCTGGCAACCTTCTACTTTGCCACTCGAGGTAACTCATGGGATGCCAGCAATGGTTGGCTCTCGGAAGACGGAGAATGCATTTGGCTTGGAATCAATTGCAATGGCAGTGGTGGTGTGACCCGGTTGGAACTTCGTTGGAACTTCGTTGGAACTTCGTTGGAACTTCGTAAGTCTATTTCGTTTGCATAATTCTACTGTTACTTTACTTACCTGTCGAACTTCCAGTCACGCACACACACTTTCTGCATTTGTTGGTCCTCTCCAGGAGAGAACTCTCTCGGTGGCTCTCTGCCCCCTGAAGTGGGAAAAATAAGGTTTCTTCGTCGTCTCGATGTTTCGGGGAACTCCATTGAGGGTCCTCTTGTAGAATTGCCATCTACTCTAGTCTTTCTAGATGTGGAAGGCAACTCCATGAGTGGGTCACCCTTCGAGGCAGTGCTCTCTGTTCCCAGTTTAAGGCAAATGCGAATATCATCCAACTTTTTCTCGGGCAGTATTCCAAGTCGAATTGGCTCTCTCACAAATCTGGAGGAGCTCTGGATGGCAAACAATCAGTTTGAAGGCGCGACGATCCCTCCCGAAATTGGAAACTTGGAAAAACTGTGTAAGTTCGACTAATGACTAATACATCATTTCATGTCATTTCATCCCATGCGTTTCTGGTATCATGGCTAAGCTGCTTTTTGTCTTTTTGTTGTTGCAGAAACATTGTGCCTTTACACGTCCAAGCTTGGAGGGAGCCTTCCGTCAGAGTTGGGTCGCTTGAATGATTCAATCTCAGGGAGCTGCTGGCCAACAATAAGTTCTGCATTTGTTATTGCTTGTCTCCAGGAGAGCATAGAACTGTTATTACAGCCTCAATGATACTTGAAGCGGTAGCTTTTGGTAGCCAACCACAACCAACGACGTGCTGTGCTGTCAGCTGCTGTCTGTGTGGCTGGGCGCACACCACCATAACACTTACTAGTACTTGCAATCAGGTAAGCGAAGAGACTTCGGGACCGGTATGACGATCGGCTCAAGGAGCCTTCGGGAACGAAGAAAGTTACGTGAGGAAAGCAAACCTTCTCACTCATGTCCGTACAGTCTGCGTACTAAAGGGTCGGTAAGTCGGTAAGCCGGGAATGCAAATAATGATCTACTAGTATTGGAGATCTTGAGATGAGGCCAGGCTTTATGTAAGGATTGAAGTTGTTTTCGCTACCGTTCACGTCATCAATCAAGGCCACGTATGCATCTTGTCGGCTGAATCACCGACACAGAGAGAAATTCAATTCTGTTCTGGCCATGTCCTTTGCAAGCTGCAGTAAAAAAACTACTGGAGGGATACAAGATACAAGTAAGTGTGAGGCGTTTGTTGTGAGAGGACGCAAATTGACACTAGCCAGGTCAACTTTTGACGATCTTTTTAGCCTATTCGGGGTAGCTGTGGTGTCCCACAGACGTCATCGGATTGCTGACAATTCAGCCAATCAAATCCAAGGATTGATTCTTCGTCAAAGTCAGCTGCGAAGACGCCAAAAGGACGGAGAGGCTGAGTGAGATGGGCTCAGGGCACCGATTCCTTTTCCTCGCTGCACAAACTCATTTTCTTGGCAGCCAAACCACTGATCGACCAGACCAGTTGTTTCCACCTGTCTCTACTACGCCATGTCTTCAACAACTATGAGCTCTGAGCAGAAGCCCACAGGTGACAGTCCTGTGGGCGGGCTTTGCCACCTTGTTGAAGCAGCCACAGCTCTATCGAAACTTGTGGAGGCCTCGGGCAAAAGAAGTGAGAAAGCTGAGCAGCCTGTGCAGCCCGCTGAGCAGACGGCCGCTCTTGCCGCTGAGAGAACTGCCAGTATCAGCGACGACGACGAAGATAAGAAGAACGGTGTCCGATGCAACAAGCGGGAGATCTTCCCACAGCGATTGCTTGCCATTCTGAATGACTCTTCCCTCTCAGACACTTGCACCTGGCTTCCTGGTGGCAGAAGCTTTGTGATCGTCAGGCCCGACGTCTTTACCGAGAAAGTGTTGCCCAAGTATCTTCCTCCTGTGGATGCACGAGGTAGCACCAAGTACCCTTCCTTCACTCGAAAGCTTAACCGATGGTAAGTTCAGCTTCTGATGATGCACTGCAGTGACTGGGATGAAAACGACCTTCAGGTTTCTCACAATGCAATTCATTCTCATGGCGACATTAGGGGCTTTCGTCAGATCACTCGTGGTCCCGATACAGGCGCCTTCCACCATCCTCTCTTCCGAAGAGATGAGCCACATTTGTGTCTTCAGATGGTCTGCCAGCGAAGTCGAGACAGGCGAAGCAGCGGATCCGCCAAGCAAGCAATGGGGGCGGCTCCCACTCTCCAAGCACCCCAGAAGCCAGCACCAGCCACCGAGCCTCAGACCCTCGCTCTCCCTGCTCGTACAGCCTCTGTTGTCTCTTCTGATGACAGCTCTTCGACTAGTGAAAGTACCAGGTCGATGGCATCTTCTTCTTCAGCCTCGACACATGTGACCTTGATGAAGGTGGCAACACCTACAGTGGCAGCAGTAGCAACGAATGCTATATTGAAGCCTGCCGTGATGCCTCAGCAGGCTCCTTTTGTTTCCAAGGACGAGACTCTGGTGCAGGATGCTCTGCGCCAGAGTGTGGAGAACGAACGCATCCGTGCAGCCAAAGCGATGCTCTACCATTCTTACATGCAAGCATTGGGAGGACGCTAGCTAACGGTAGCGGCGTGGAAACTGCTGGTTGGGAATGTTGATACAACAAGGATTGTACGGTACCAAGTTGGAAATGTGAATAGGGTGAACCAACCCCTTAGGTACCTGTACCAGCCGCCAGGCCAAGAAGACTTCTCTGGGCTGGTTGCCTGCCTGCTTGCTCTCTGTGCAAGTAATGGGTATATGTACAGACATCGTTTTTATCTATCTACTGCGTATGCATTTGGACATGATTTTGTTATGACATAGTAACACATATTATCATCTGCCTCTCTCTTCTAGTACAGTACTAGTGCTAGCTAGCTACGGTAGAGCTTTGCTGTGCTAGACGACTACAATTATCTTTCGCTTGAGAGACTCTTGATGCTTGACTATCATATGCCGAGCCAATCTTCAAGAAGAGCGAAGACACCAGAGCTGCAGCTCCCCAGCACCGATTCGGTTTGATGTTGGCGTCTTTTTACCCACAGTCGTTTGCTGAGGCTTCAGATGACATCAGCCCCATCAACCGAACGCCAATGGGTGTCTTTTGTTGAGGGTGCTTGGTGACCAAGCTGGATGGTGTCCTTGCATACGAACGACGGAAGGGGCCCCACATCAGAGACACCTTCAACTGCTGGCGGATCTTGAGTACCGGAGACTTCAACAGAATTGGCTGATTCTGATTCAGAAAAACAGCATTTGAGAGGTCCTTGCGGTAAATTTAGGGTTAAAGTATAGTTTACTATGAAGGTTTGAGTGGACATTAAGCTTTACCACATTTACCTAAATTCTGAAGCTGTCTTCTGTCTTCCTGCCCCACCCTCGATCTCGAGTACCGCTCAGCTGCATGCGTAAGAAGAAGTGGAAAATTTGGAGCTTCTGATTGGACCAAAATGGTGACACTTGCAGCTGTTCAGCTGACGTGAGAACGAACACTACTTGTCACTTGTCACGCCGACAACTCCTTGATTTTGGACCTTTCATCGGAAGAAACTTCCAGTTGGCCGCCGAAGGGGCCCATGGCGGTCGGCTAGCTGGATACATGTACCACCCTCCCTAGACTACTAGCTAGCTAGAACCAGTACCGGTAGCTGTGACTGATCCTATCGTATTTTTTAAGGCAGACAGTTTCACCTCTTGAAATCTCGTCCAGCTACTAGTAGTTAGCTAGCTACTAGCTAGAGCCTCAATCGGAAAAGCCAACCGATGAGTCTAGCTAGTAGAGAGTGACAGTCGGAATATTTTATCAAGTGCAGGGTCCGAAAGCTGGATGCATACTTGCAAATGGAAACCAGTTGCTTGAACGAGCGCCGACAAGCGGCGCTCGCCTAGAGCAGCACTGCACGACTAGTTGAGTAGAGTAGGGTGGTGGAGAGACTCGGCCATTTACTGAGCCGACCGTCTCCGCTACCCAGGGGTGCCGCTCGTGATTGCTAGAATCGCGAGCGGGAACCAAGGCACGAATGAGGCAGTCCCGCGGGATGTGAGTCCCGCGTGATGTGCGACATTCGGCCAACCCAGGGAGGGAGAGGTGGGTTAATCTATTCTAGTTCTTGCTTGCAGCTCGGCTGAAGGAAGAATTGTGAGCAGAGAAGGAGACAACCTTCTTGCGATCGACTGTTCAATGGCTGAAAGAGAGAGTTGGACCGGTCTTGCATGTTGTGTTCATTCAAGGTTGCTATCTGTGAGCGGTCTTCGAGGGGTGCTATTGCCTTAGAGCCGATCTTGCGAAGGGGGCAGACATAGCGACATGTATGTGGGGTATCCATTTCAGGAACGCAGGTGATGACCTGAGAGATGTAGAGATGTACTTGATGTGTAGGAGCGAAGTGTGGGAATCGATTTCGTGTTTTGTGAGATGGTACAGTTTGGCAACTGTGAGTTGAGTCATTCGTCGAAGAACCCATGAGGGTTCAGGTTTCCACGCCAGGCAGCGTGGAAGGATAGGGATCAAGGATCGTTGTCCTCTTTTGCGTGCGACTGCTCGACAACGAGCGCCGACAAGCGGCGCTCGCCTAGAGCAGCACTGCACCGACTAGTTGAGTAGAGTAGGGTGGTGGAGAGACTCGGCCATTTACTGAGCCGACCGTCTCCGCTACCCAGGGGTGCCGCTCGTGATTGCTAGAATCGCGAGCGGGAACAAGGCACGAATGAGGCAGTCCCGGGGATGTGGGATGTCGCGTGATGTGCGACATTCGGCCAACCCAAATAGCCAAAGGCAGAACAGGGTGGGAGGCGTAGCGGGGTGGGAAAAGTTGGAGAGACCGAGAGGAGGCAAGGTCTCGCTGGAGAATTTTGGACTAAGGGAGATTAGTCCTCGTAGAGTTCCGCGTGAAGGAAGGATCTCTGCGATAGTAGCAGGCGCCTGAGCAGGCGGGAGGAACTTGTCGTAGGTTCCCGCCTGGAAGTGTAGGCACCGTGGGCCAGCATTTTCTGGGAGTAGGGTGCGTGATGTGGCGGCCTGGATTCGAGAGGAATGCGCACTTCCATCGACCGAGGAGGCGGATGGCATCCGAGTGAACATGGGCGCAGAGGAGTGCAGTGGCGCCGCCCGGATGGAGGGAGCGAGCGGACACTTTCATGTGGGAGATTCCGGTGGTCCGTTCGAGCCGCTTTGCGGCAGCTCGAAGGGCTCGGTGATGAACTTGGGCTTGACATTGTACCATTTCTTACGGAAGGAGTTGTAGTGTTTGTAGAGATGGGCGTGGAGGCGCGGCCTCCAATGGAGTGTTGAGAGTGATGTGTGCGGAGCGGATGTGACGGACGAGACGGGCGAGGGATTTGACAGGACAAAGCCAGGGGTCAGCGGTAGCCCGGTGACCCACCGACTCGCCTTTGACGGCGTTCTTTTGGTCAGTGAATGTCAGCGAAGCCGCGGTGAGGCGACTGGGGTCAGACACGTCATTCAAAGAGATCTTGTCAGCGGTGACTTGGAGGCGACCGGCGATGGTGAAGGTGATGTCCTCAAGGAGAAAGGCCTGGCTTCGGGCCTCAGGGTTACTGGTGTCGAGTATTCTGCAGGTCGGAGGAGCCAGAAGAAGGCGCAGATGCAGAGGTCCCGAGTGTGTTGGTTGACGGTACCCCGGACGGGGTCAACGTTGTTGCTAGTAAAACTGCAGCTTATTAGGGGAGTAATTTTGGTTTTAGGATTAACTGTAAAGCAAAAGTGAGGATTTTCTGGTGGTGCATAGAACAATTCTTGTGATTGAATTGGATATAAGGACCCCGCAACACTTTAGACCTAAAATCCCTTGGTTCCTTGAATGATCAATTTACATGCGAACCGGGCTAGATGATTAATACACGAGTCAATAGTATAAGAGGTGTCAAGTATGTTTCCTCCAACACACTCCTTGCACGGTGCCCTAAGTGGTACCGTGAAACGAATAAATAAATTAGGCAATCAAACAAGGGGTGGATGCCCCATGAATGAAAGCCCTGTGCTCGTGAAAGGGCTTGCCCTGAAGGGGCTTCGTGAAAAATCTCAACGCATTTCCTAGGTTGGGCAGTAACAACTCTAAGGTTGCCTTTTCCATATTTGGTCATAAATAAAGAAGAAACGAATGTTGATAGCCCAAGTTCTTTTGCCGAACTGCCTTTGCCATTCTCTGCAAGATGATCGTGCTTTTGTTGTCCTGCATGGGAGATGTTGTCCTTCACAAAGATCCCCTGCTCTTCAAGGAAAATATTTGCCCACAACATGGGCGGAATGACATCGTCAGCTCCAATCAATTCCGCTTCCGTGCTGCTCCTCGATTTCAATTTCTGTTTCGCGGATACAAAAGCACCGCTCCTCCTCAAAAGGACATGACTCCTCCTGTATGGGAGACGGTAATCAGGATGGACTGCAAATGATGCGTCACCCCACCAAGTGATGATGCTTTGTCATCAATGTGTATGATAAGCTTGTCCTGCGCCGTCTGAACCAAAAAACTTGAGGGCTTTGGACCAACTTGTCCCAATCATCAGATGATGGGCTTCAGACACGAGTGCATAACACATAGTGAGAGTCTGCACATATGGTCGAGCACCGCTTGCAAGAACAACACTTGGCTGCAAAGGTATGATAGGTTTCTCTGTTCTTGCAATTCAGGATGGTGCCATCAACAGAGCTGAATAGGTCAGCAGGAGCTGCACTTGGTACCTTTCTCATTGCCCCAAAGTCACTGGAAACTCTGAGATCATTTTCTTGACTAATCTATCATGTCAACACAACCTTTCCTGGGTTCGGAAAAATCCACCGTCATCCCCAATAGTCAGTCTTGGGACCACGGGTTGCTTTCCGGCTCCATAGGTTCCATACCTGTGTTAAACCATTCCAGAGTTTGGTTGTTCACCACTTATTCTGTGGCTTGACATTAGATCCAACATGAATCGTATTGTTTGTTGGTACCCCTCGATCATGCGGTTAGCCACACAAGGATCGTATCTGTTGAACACAAATCCAATTTCTTCGAGGTCGCTCCTGAAGAGCTTGACCAGAGTAATGCTGCCAAAACCATTCCGTAGATGCCTCTTTCCACAACGACATAGAGGACTGGTAGTCCTTCTTGTATGTCAGGAAATAGGCATATGTGTCAGGATCAATTTCGACAATAAGTCTGCAAGGGTTCCCTCAATGATACATGGGGACCCTGTCTTCACCTTGTTGACTTTTGGCATTGGGTTTGGAGAACGCATTGTGAACATACCAAGGACATCACATCACCTACTCTTCGTATGCATCGACACACATTGTAACATCAATCCCTCAAGTGAGACTGTTTGGGCTTCTGGCATCTTCTTTCTGATGGTACACCCTTGGTAGGTTTCCCATTGTAGACTGACGGGCCTTGACCGTGCCATCCCTTTTCTCACTCACAAACATGAGTGCCATTTGTGCCTTTTTTCAATTCAGCAATCACCTGCATTGTTTGGGTCGACTGCGACTGAAACACACTCTGCTTGTATGAGCTGGTCCATCTCTTTGAGCGCCGCCTTCTGGCTTTGTTGCCCACACTTTCAGACCCTTGGGTAGA